TAAGACACATTGTCGAAATCTGCTGACAACCCTGTATTGGATTTATTGTCCTTTGATGACGATTCTATCAATTTGGTGCATTTTTGCCTAATATCTGAAAAACTATATATAACATACAGTTAGAAACTTAAATAAGCAAAAATTAAAACTAGTCTGGATTGGGGTCCTTCATTTCTGTATTCTATAATATTTTAGGCCATTTTTCTCTATTCTTTATACTTTTTGTCAATTATTCTCTATTCTTTATCTTTTAGCACCTCATTTTTCTCTAATCTTTATTTTTTGGTCCATTTTTCTCTATTCTTTATATTTTTTGCCCATTATTCTTTATTCTGTAAACCCCCATCCACACCCTCATGGGTTTGCAAGAAAGATTGAACAGTTTTTTGCTACATTCAATTTTTCACATGTTTGGGAAAATCAGGATACTTTTTCAAAAAGGCATTTATTTGTACGCTCTTCATACCAAACTTAATTTAATGATAAGTTTCAGACTTATTGAAAAGAAAATATTTTTTGTGATGATAAATCATTGAAAGGTAATAAGCTCAAAACATATAGACAACTTAAAAGAAAATTACAAATTGGAAACCTGTAATGTAATAGGAAATTTTGCAAAAATTCGCATAAGTAATAGTGTTCTTAAAATTGAACAAGGTCGACATACTAAAACTCCTTTAGAAGAAAGAATTTGTCCCTTGTGTCTTTTAGAAGTAGAAGATAAATTTCATTTCACTATAAAATGTACAAAACTAAATACAAAAATAGAGGACAATTATTTTCTAAAATTAATGAAATAATTCCCTCTTTTTTTAAATATGACCAATAAAGCAAGATTTAAATTTTTGTATACGTGTGGTGAGAATGACATGATTAGAAATATTGTAAAATTCATTACTGACATGTACAATTCTAGAAATGCTTTCTTGAATAATAAATAAATTTGTAGTACGTACCACCTCCTCAGCGGAGATTAGATTATATATATATATATATATATATATTAATGTAACAATTAATTAATATTGACATTTTTAATAACAGAGGGGATATATTATATAATACAAATGTATATACACTATATAAATGTTGACAGATATGTTTGCATGTTTATGTATAGCCAATGTTTATTGTCAAATGTGGTATCAATCCTATAATTTTTTATTCTAAAGTTTCTATTTAAAACCATATTCAAAACCAATAAAATATTTTATCTTATCTTACTTTAATATTGATATTATATATCTGATGAGTTAATATTTTAAATTCTGAGTAATTATTGAATAGTTTTTAGTAATGCATCAATGGTTATATTCATTGTAACTTGCAAGACTTCTTCATGGCTCAGTGAGTTTTTATAGATGGGTTTACTCTCTAGGTTTTACTATAATGTGTTATGAAAACTCTCCCTTCTTTATGATGATTGGTTAATTACACGGCCGACACTCGGCTAACCGAGAGATTGGTCGGTTAATCTATATTGAGTATGCAGCTATATGGGCGGTTGGTCTGTTAATCGGGTCGGTTATACCATGGGTTATACGTCTGTTAAGAGTAAAACACACAATTTAAATGTTCAACTCTTAAATATACAGATTTTTGGCATATTATAAGAACCAAATAAAAAAAAGAAAAGTGTCTGACAAAATGATATCTATCATAGAACATTTTCCACCTGTAAAAACATTTCATAGTCTGTGCAAACTTCAGTAAAACTAAAAGGTGTCGCGCAATTATGTGGTATTTATGCTTATACGCATATCAATTGTTTTAATAAAAGGCGAAACAAACAATTTTAGATATCATTTAAAGGACACAAAATAGTACTTTGGTTCTAAAAAATAAATTGACATTAGTAAATATTTCATAATTGTAATATAACGTGAGTAATACCACGTTTTAGTGACTATTAGGGGAATAAAGTCTGTTAATGGGTTGGACAATTAAAATTGTGTCAGTTAAGAGTTATTTAGCCACCACAATAGTTTTACTACCTTTATAATTTCCCATTAAAAAAGTTAAGAATGAGATGTACTTGAGTAAAAAAAAAATGACAATACGGTGCAACAGTATCCTTGTAGTAAGAGCATTTTTATTTTGACTTTCTTTTCTTTATTGAAAGGTGTGTCACTGCAATATAGCGTGATATGGAATGGCCGCTGGCATGAATTTATTATAAACTATTCATTCAATCAGCCTTGATTTTTGTGTCTGTTCAAAGAAGCACATTCAAAAATCCGACTGAAAGCGTCTGTCTTATACAACACCGGGTACATATAACGTGTTGTCGTTCTCATATGGACATGATATTTGCCACTGGACGTTAAACCCTAATTCGTCAGCATCATCCAATTGGTTCTTTTGTTCTATTACTTAATCATGTGTTGTTTACAAAACATTCTAAAGAAGTAAATGGAAAGAAGCGAATGCAGCTACATTTGTTTATCTTAAGTTTTAATTCATTTTATTCCGTTTAGTTCCTTTCTACATAAGTGCAGAGGAGAACTGCAGTTGTGCACTTGTAAAATTCTAGCATTTGTCACCAATTTGAGTACATCACAATCCGTTACTGTTTCAACCACCCCCTCCCCCTAAAATTTTGTTTTGTTTGCACTTTACAATATTTACTGAGCTATCAGATTCAGCGGTTGACAGGAGGCCAATGTTTATCGGACTCCAGTCACAAATAACATAAAGTGATATACAGTAAAAAAAATTGCAAAGCATCTATATAGATATTGTTGTCTATACTATTAATTTAAAAAAAAAAGAGATGTGGAATAAATGCCAAAATTGTTTTAACAATCATCTTGGAGGGTCTAAATAGTAAAAAGGGGTGTTTCATGTCTGTATTCTTAAACAATTGTTATTTTTCTCTCTTTTTTAGCAATGCAACACTCTCTACTGTCCTTATCTATTATTCTATATTCTGCGTCTCCATCCAGATTCTCGTGTATACCATGAGGGTCCGGATTGGTGGTGTTGTTTATTTCTGTATTCTTTAAATTGTTATGTCACTTTTCTCTACATTTTATTTATTTTTCTCATTATTCTTTCTCTATTCTTTATATTTTAGCATCCCAATATATTTTACTTACTGATGTTTAGTTACATTACGACGTTTATCTCTGATATAAAAAAGCAGATGTGGTATGATTGCCAATGAGACAACTCTCCACAAGAGACCAAAATGACACAGAAATTAACAACTATAGGTCACCGTACGGCCTTCAACAATGAGCAAAGCCCATACCGCATAGTCAGCTATAAAAGGCCCCGAAATGACAATGTAAAACAATTCAAACGAGAAAACTAACGGACTTATTTATATATAAAAAAAAATGAACGAAAAACAAATATGTAACACATAAACAAACGACAACCACTGATTTACAGGCTCCTGACTTGGGACAGGCACATACATACATAATGTGGCGGGGTTAAACATGTTAGCGGGATCCCAACCCTCCCCTAACCTGGGACAGTTGTATAACAGTACAACATAAGAACGAACTATAAAAAGGATGTATATACTGGTTACCAATGTAGATGACAAATTGGTGTCATTCATAACAACGAAACAGAATTCACATGATATATGCGACCATTCTTGAATGAAATTAATATTACTTTAATATTACACTTTTTGAAACCATTTTTATCAATTTCCAATTTCCATTGTCTAAATTTATGTTTCATTGTTCATGTGTTGTTTCCGTATATTTTTGCCACTCGTCTTGAGCCTACCCATTTGATCCGATAACTCCCCATAAAGCAATCAGATTATATTTTCATTGCCATTCATAACTCTTAACAGACCAAATAACAGTCCGGGTTTTATACATCCGACCCATTAACAGACCAGGTTTTTAATAAAAATTATTAATATCACCAAAGTACAGATTTTGTGTAGATTTTTCGCATAATGATATTAATATGGTTAACAAACATAATGCCTGTCTTTTTTCGATGTTCAAAATATTGCATGCAAGTAAATTCAGCCAACTTGTCATTTTGTGTACATTTTGTGTGTGTAAAATATGTATAAATTTATTGATGAGTAACCCGCCTTTTCATTTTATTGATTGTTTATCGAAGCTATAGAAATAAAATAATTACACCACTGGATTCAGTACATTGAATTGTTTTGTCAGACATGAATAATTTTTTTGATAAAAAATATATTTAAAAAGTTATACAATGAAACATACTGAACTTGCAAGTATTTTCTCGATAACACCTGATTAACAGACTTTAGCCAACCCAATTAACAGACCAACCGCCGATATAGCCGCATACTCAATATAGATTAACCGACCAATCTCTCGGTTAGCCGAGTGACGGCCGTGAATTAAGTCATATGTCTTTTTTGGAGGGAAATTATTTTGTTTGGTTAGAATTTGGTTATATTTTGAACTGAGTGGTGCTGTGCTGTTCCTTGATATAATTTGTATTCATTTTTGGTGCATATGTTTGATTTTATCAAATAAGGTCAGTTTTCTCTTATTACATTTGTAATATTAATGGTTTTAGAATAAAAGGTGCATATGAAAGATTAAACAGGTCTGGAATAACCATTAATTTGTGGAGTATATATTGTCAATTAACTACATGTCATCACTGCTGTGATAAATGCAAAAAGATGCTCAAATATTTCTTTAAATTTTTTTTGGATAAAAACTGCATTATATCTGTCATATGATGTATTATACTTGAATTGAGGTCTAATTTACAAATTAATGGTTAGTCCTGACTTGTTAAAACACATAAATGTATATGAAATATTTGTTAAATCGGAAAAAACTAATAAGCACAGTCAAAATAATCATTTTGTAAGTATTTAGACAAAATTATATGAATATCTCAGTTTTAGTGAAAAGAATCAATAGTAATAATGTTAAAGTAAATAGATAAAATTGTTTTTGGTATCAAAAATAATAATTTGTATGTTAAGACATTTTTTTGTATATTAACAAACAAACAGTTATGATTATGTTTTTATTACAGATATTGAGCCATACTGTTCCAATATTGTTCATGATGAAGAACCATAGATTCACGAGTTTTGTGTAAACAGGACTTTTGTATCTCATACATGGTAGGTTTTATATTTTGTTTATTGTCTCACCTTGACAGAGTCAAAAAACAAGACTTAGGTATGCTGTTTCAAGACAGCAATGTTGGCGGAGGTGTCAACAATGTATTAGTTTGTGATTAGGTCTAGTTTATGGTGAACCACAAGTGCCTTGAAGTGGTAGGTCAATGATATTTGGTATGCAGTTGTATAAGCATGGGCACATCGCATTTCCATAGAGATTATTTGGTCCCACCCCTCAGTCATTGTCTACTTTGAATGTTTTGCATAGTTTACATCGTTCATTGTTGGTTGCTTAACGTCCAGTGTATAGTTTACATGTTTTTAATATTGCTATTTGGATTCAATATTTGCATTATATTACCAAAGTTACAAGTTGGGTAAGTTTTCATCATACTATTCATTTCAATTTTCCAGAATTCAAAATCATTCCAGATTCAAATAATTCCTTGTTATATGTTAAATATTAAGATGTATAAATTATGATGAGTTCAAAATTTATCAAGGTTTATCTTCTTTATACATAATTTTTAAGTCCAAAACATGTGAAACACAGTTTTTAAGTAGGTAATATTTGAGCTGTTTTTTTTTTATTGTCATCTAAAATGAACAGAGTTATCTCTTTGTACTGTTTATTTGTATTTGTAGTGCAGGATCATTAAATTATTGACCTGTTATTCCAAAACTATCTAGTTTTATATAAATATTTTCCAAAATTATTCCCATTTGTTAATCCTAATTCATGTTTTATGTTTTGCAGGAAATGATTAATAGCTACTGAATCAAATGAAGAATCTTAAGACTTAAAAGCATAGAGTGGAAATGGAAATATGAAAATGTATTAAGCCAATGCATGACATAAGGAGATTCAATTATGAATTTTGAAATTGGAGAGGTCATACATCAGAGAAGACTTAAAGCAAAGTTTACAGGTAGGAGACTTGATTGGTTGTTTTTATCAATTGTCATATTAGTTAAAGGATGTGGTATGATTGCCAACGAGACAATTATCCACCAGTCCAAATAATGCTGATTTAAGCAACTAAAGTTTACTATACGGCTTTCAACAATGAGACCAACCCGTACCATATAGTCGCTATACAGCTGCCCCGACATTGCTTGTTTACTGTACTGTGGCAAATGTTACATACATATTCAAGATGATATATAAGTTATAGATCACTTAAGTAGCTAAAAAATTTTGGAGAAGGGAGGAACTATTACTGAAAAATATGTTTTGTTGGTGATGGCCATAAAGTTTGCTTTGCAACAAACCATCTGCAGATTCTTTCGTATAAAGAGTTGTTACACAGGAGACTATTAAATAAAAATAGAAACATTTTTCATTAGTAATTCCCCTCAAAATCTTTTATCAGATCAGACTTTTTATGTTTATATATATTGGTATGCAATCCTATTAGCATTTGCTCATCTCATTTCTATAGAGATTATATGGTCCTGTTCCCTCATCATGGTTCATTGACTCTGAAACATTTGTATTGATTGGGCGCAGGACATTTTAGCAAAAAACTACTAGGAGACATTTTAGCGCAGACATTAGAGCCCATTTTAGCGCAGAATTATTCTGTTCACCTGTATTTTCGATATCCCAATTTAGCGAAAAACTCAGCTGGTTGAATGAAGCTCACCATGCTAAAACTGTGAACAGTAATTTATGCTGGGTTAATGTTTAAGTTGTTATTTTGCATTTTTAATTTGGTTAATCATGGAATAAAAGGTGGTTGAAACAGACAAAATAAAATGTGACAGCTAACGTCACCCAGCCATTCACACCTTCTTAATTAAAAAAAACAACTTATATTAAGAAATATGTATCAATCTGCTCTTCAATCTATGCAAGATAAAGAGAAGGAACAGTTCCTATCACAATGTTACATATTGTATGCACAATCTTGTTCAGGGGTATATCAAATAAAGAGAAGGAACAGTTCCTATCACAATGTTACATATTGTATGCACAATCTTGTTCAGGGGTATATCAAATAAAGAGAAGGAAGAGTTCCTATCACAATGTTACATATTGTATGCACAATCTTGTTCAGGGGTATATCAAATAAAGAGAAGGAAGAGTTCCTATCACAATGTTACATATTGTATGCACAATCTTGTTCAGGGGTATATCAAATAAAGAGAAGGAACAGTTCCTATCACAATGTTACATATTGTATGCACAATCTTGTTCAGGGGTATATCAAATAAAGAGAAGGAACAGTTCCTATCACAATGTTACATATTGTATGCACAATCTTGTTCAGGGGTATATCAAATAAAGAGAAGGAACAGTTCCTATCACAATGTTACATATTGTATGCACAATCTTGTTCAGGGGTATATCAAATAAAGAGAAGGAACAGTTCCTATCACAATGTTACATATTGTATGCACAATCTTGTTCAGGGGTATATCAAATAAAGAGAAGGAACAGTTCCTATCACAATGTTACATATTGTATGCACAATCTTGTTCAGGGGTATATCAAGATAAAGAGAAGGAACAGTTCCTATCACAATGTTACATATTGTATGCACAATCTTGTTCAGGGGTATATCAAGATAAAGAGAAGGAACAGTTCCTATCACAATGTTACATATTGTATGCACAATCTTGTTCAGGGGTATATCAAGATAAAGAGAAGGAACAGTTCCTATCACAATGTTACATATTGTATGCACAATCTTGTTCAGGGGTATATCAAATAAAGAGAAGGAACAGTTCCTATCACAATGTTACATATTGTATGCACAATCTTGTTCAGGGGTATATCAAATAAAGAGAAGGAACAGTTCCTATCACAATGTTACATATTGTATGCACAATCTTGTTCAGGGGTATATCAAATAAAGAGAAGGAACAGTTCCTATCACAATGTTACATATTGTATGCACAATCTTGTTCAGGGGTATATCAAATAAAGAGAAGGAACAGTTCCTATCACAATGTTACATATTGTATGCACAATCTTGTTCAGGGGTATATCAAATAAAGAGAAGGAACAGTTCCTATCACAATGTTACATATTGTATGCACAATCTTGTTCAGGGGTATATCAAATAAAGAGAAGGAACAGTTCCTATCACAATGTTACATATTGTATGCACAATCTTGTTCAGGGGTATATCAAATAAAGAGAAGGAACAGTTCCTATCACAATGTTACATATTGTATGCACAATCTTGTTCAGGGGTATATCAAATAAAGAGAAGGAACAGTTCCTATCACAATGTTACATATTGTATGCACAATCTTGTTCAGGGGTATATCAAATAAAGAGAAGGAACAGTTCCTATCACAATGTTACATATTGTATGCACAATCTTGTTCAGGGGTATATCAAATAAAGAGAAGGAACAGTTCCTATCACAATGTTACATATTGTATGCACAATCTTGTTCAGGGGTATATCAAATAAAGAGAAGGAACAGTTCCTATCACAATGTTACATATTGTATGCACAATCTTGTTCAGGGGTATATCAAATAAAGAGAAGGAACAGTTCCTATCACAATGTTACATATTGTATGCACAATCTTGTTCAGGGGTATATCAAATAAAGAGAAGGAACAGTTCCTATCACAATGTTACATATTGTATGCACAATCTTGTTCAGGGGTATATCAAATAAAGAGAAGGAACAGTTCCTATCACAATGTTACATATTGTATGCACAATCTTGTTCAGGGGTATATCAAATAAAGAGAAGGAAGAGTTCCTATCACAATGTTACATATTGTATGCACAATCTTGTTCAGGGGTATATCAAATAAAGAGAAGGAAGAGTTCCTATCACAATGTTACATATTGTATGCACAATCTTGTTCAGGGGTATATCAAATAAAGAGAAGGAAGAGTTCCTATCACAATGTTACATATTGTATGCACAATCTTGTTCAGGGGTATATCAAATAAAGAGAAGGAAGAGTTCCTATCACAATGTTACATATTGTATGCACAATCTTGTTCAGGGGTATATCAAATAAAGAGAAGGAAGAGTTCCTATCACAATGTTACATATTGTATGCACAATCTTGTTCAGGGGTATATCAAATAAAGAGAAGGAACAGTTCCTATCACAATGTTACATATTGTATGCACAATCTTGTTCAGGGGTATATCAAATAAAGAGAAGGAACAGTTCCTATCACAATGTTACATATTGTATGCACAATCTTGTTCAGGGGTATATCAAATAAAGAGAAGGAAGAGTTCCTATCACAATGTTACATATTGTATGCACAATCTTGTTCAGGGGTATATCAAATAAAGAGAAGGAAGAGTTCCTATCACAATGTTACATATTGTATGCACAATCTTGTTCAGGGGTATATCAAATAAAGAGAAGGAAGAGTTCCTATCACAATGTTACATATTGTATGCACAATCTTGTTCAGGGGTATATCAAATAAAGAGAAGGAAGAGTTCCTATCACAATGTTACATATTGTATGCACAATCTTGTTCAGGGGTATATCAAATAAAGAGAAGGAACAGTTCCTATCACAATGTTACATATTGTATGCACAATCTTGTTCAGGGGTATATCAAATAAAGAGAAGGAAGAGTTCCTATCACAATGTTACATATTGTATGCACAATCTTGTTCAGGGGTATATCAAATAAAGAGAAGGAAGAGTTCCTATCACAATGTTACATATTGTATGCACAATCTTGTTCAGGGGTATATCAAATAAAGAGAAGGAAGAGTTCCTATCACAATGTTACATATTGTATGCACAATCTTGTTCAGGGGTATATAAAATAAAGAGAAGGAATAGTTCCTATCACAATGTTACATATTGTATGCACAATCTTGTTCAGGGGTATATCAAATAAAGAGAAGGAAGAGTTCCTATCACAATGTTACATATTGTATGCACAATCTTGTTCAGGGGTATATCAAATAAAGAGAAGGAAGAGTTCCTATCACAATGTTACATATTGTATGCACAATCTTGTTCAGGGGTATATCAAATAAAGAGAAGGAAGAGTTCCTATCACAATGTTACATATTGTATGCACAATCTTGTTCAGGGGTATATCAAATAAAGAGAAGGAAGAGTTCCTATCACAATGTTACATATTGTATGCACAATCTTGTTCAGGGGTATATCAAATAAAGAGAAGGAAGAGTTCCTATCACAATGTTACATATTGTATGCACAATCTTGTTCAGGGGTATATCAAATAAAGAGAAGGAAGAGTTCCTATCACAATGTTACATATTGTATGCACAATCTTGTTCAGGGGTATATCAAATAAAGAGAAGGAAGAGTTCCTATCACAATGTTACATATTGTATGCACAATCTTGTTCAGGGGTATATCAAATAAAGAGAAGGAAGAGTTCCTATCACAATGTTACATATTGTATGCACAATCTTGTTCAGGGGTATATCAAATAAAGAGAAGGAAGAGTTCCTATCACAATGTTACATATTGTATGCACAATCTTGTTCAGGGGTATATCAAATAAAGAGAAGGAAGAGTTCCTATCACAATGTTACATATTGTATGCACAATCTTGTTCAGGGGTATATCAAATAAAGAGAAGGAACAGTTCCTATCACAATGTTACATATTGTATGCACAATCTTGTTCAGGGGTATATCAAATAAAGAGAAGGAACAGTTCCTATCACAATGTTACATATTGTATGCACAATCTTGTTCAGGGGTATATCAAATAAAGAGAAGGAACAGTTCCTATCACAATGTTACATATTGTATGCACAATCTTGTTCAGGGGTATATCAAATAAAGAGAAGGAACAGTTCCTATCACAATGTTACATATTGTATGCACAATCTTGTTCAGGGGTATATCAAATAAAGAGAAGGAACAGTTCCTATCACAATGTTACATATTGTATGCACAATCTTGTTCAGGGGTATATCAAATAAAGAGAAGGAACAGTTCC